TTTTTTTTTTTTTTAAAGAATACAGACCACTTTTTCTCTGGCAAGGATAGTAATTCCAGGGCACAGAATATTCCCCTTGTCCTCTGGGTAATTAAAGTGACTGGTCCTGGCCAGGCTTTGCCCCGTCTTCGGCCCTTTGCTGGAAAATGACTGCAGGCTGAATGGGCGTTGCCTTTCTGCCTTGACCTCTGTCTGCCATCTGTTCAGTGAGTCTCACTTCCTGGGAGAAACACTTTCTCTTTCAGACCTTCGTAACCAGCACCCCATACCAGGGGACATCCTCCATGTGGGCTGTGTCCTGTGCTTTCTTTAGCTGGGAATAAACCATTAGGAATGTTCCTCTGAGTCATGCTATTTCTTTTCTCAGTTTCTTTTTCTTCTTTACTTTTCCCTCCTCTTTCTTTTTTTCTTTCTCCTCTCTCTCTTTCTCTTCTTGCTCATTCTCTAACTTGAGAGATGTCACCAAGCTCTTTGTTAATAACTAATGAAAAATTATATCAAAGCAGGAGGAAAAAGAAGGAAGTGTGATTCTTGTGGATTTAATGCATGTTCACAAATGAAATTATGTAACATATGCAATGTCTTCTATACATAAAATGTCTCCTAATATATTATATATTTAAAGTGTAACATGACATACAAAAATGGTATGCGTAATATCTCCTAGTTAGTTGTTTCTTTATTTATATATTATATAATATAAAATACATACTATATATATATTATTTCTAAATGTCCTGATTGCATAGGATGAGAAATTAATAGGTGAATATATTGAAGAAAAGAAATGTTATATGTTAAAGAAAAAGTTGGATTTTTTTTCTGTGACTATGCAAGTTTATCAGAAATTAAAGCAATTTGCTTACGTTTTACATCTGTTTTTAAAGTCTTAAATGTACCTATTTTAGTGATGATTAAGAGATATTCATCATGATATTTTCCTCTGTATAAGTTTGCACTGTTAGATTTTTAAAAGGAATATTTTCCCATCCCAAATCTAGCTGCTTTTAAGGAAATCTGTCCTGGTGGAATGGGTTATACGGTTTCTGGCGTTCATAGACGCAGGCCAATCCATCACCATGTAGGTAAAGGACCTGTATTTGTCAAGCCAAAGAACACTCAACCTGTTGCTAAAAGTACTCATCCTCCACCTCTCCCAGCCAAGGAAGAGCCAGTGGAGGCCCTGACCTTCTCCCGGGAACACGGGCCAGGAGTGGCGGAGCCGGAAGGTGAGAGTGGAACAGGATTGTGGACTCTAGTCATCTGTCTGTGTTCTATACTTTGGTTTCCCTATTTATACCCCTCTAGCACACGGTTTCTGAGCCTCAGCACTGTTGACATGTTAACTTGGATGAGCGGGGAGGCTGCTCTGTGTATTATAGGACGTTTAGCAGCATACGTGACCTCTAAATGCTAGGGAAACGCCCCCACCTTATTGTTATCAAAACCAAAAAAAAAGATGTCTAAACATTGCAGATGTCTCTGAGTGAGGGATGTAAAGTTATACCTGATTAAGAATCACTGCTCTGGAATAATATGTACAGAGCAGGTAATAATATTCCATGTTACAAAATTGACCAAGTTCTGCTGTTATATTGTGAGCATGAACAAGAATATAACAAGCCCCACTATTGCTTCTAATTCTAATATACCAATAAAATACATATAAATATGAAAATAAACGATATTCCATGATAATTTCAGACACTTTGGGTGCTACTTTTGCTCGATTCTTTCTGGAGAGGCATTTCGATCCTTGAGGGAACAGTCCTGATTCATTTCTGTGTCTAGAAAGCCATTTACTAAATCATTGTTTACAAAGTGGAATCCACAGACTTAAAATTGTTAATGCATCAGCTGAACTTCCACTAAAGAGTATAATGGGCAGTCAGGGATAAAGGGGGCAAAATGCCAAAGGGTAGGAGATGTCTAGGGACAGATCTGGGAGATCACCTAGTAGAGTCCTCTTATCCGCCTTCTGAGAACCTGAGACCTAGAGAGGAATACAACAGCCACATGTCACACAAAGAGTATGTAATGGTACCCATGATCAAGAGTGTATTTCTCCAAGGAAATCATTAAGGCCTTATATTTGAGAGAGTCTAGAGGCAGTTGATCTTGACAGTCTCTCACACTGAGGAAGAGAGATTATCTCTATGTCTTTATATAAACCAGCATTTTCAAGATTTTGAATATTTTGATTACCACAAAAATTTTTCATTCCAGAGAGAAGGAATACTAATATTAGCTCTGTATGAAATATATATATCTACTCTTAAAAAAAGGTCCTATTGACTTTTCACTGCAGAGGCTTAGGACAGAATTTAGGGTGCCCACACTGTATCTTGAGAGGATATATGCTGTCCAGGTTGGTGAAGAGTGGGGGACTTGGTGCAGCCTCCTTCCTGGGAGGCAGGATTTTTCTGGGCTCTGGGCATTGGTGCATTCTGGCCTATTAATTCCATTCTTTTCACTCCATGAACTTCTTCCTTGGTTAGGCAGAGCAAATAGGGCCTCACCTGAAATTGCCTCTATACACTTGGCGTGGCCTAGTGCTTGCAGTGGAGTTTTCTCTGATTCTGCCTCCAGACTTTCTTGACCCTGGGTTTGGGAGAATAGAAAGTTAGTTGACTTTTCCAACCCTAAGATACCCCAGCAGTGATTTGAATATATTGGGTATCCTTTTTGTTCTAAGGGATTAATGCACCTTCCCAACATAATCATCAGCTGATGATTATGGAGACACTGACACAAGAGAAAAATCTTAGTGTATGTGAACCCGAGGCTTAGGATCTAATACTGAAGATAGATTCGTGCAAAGCAAGTCTTTCAAAGTACAAAGGCACAAGAACATTCATGATTGTGTAGTATATAATTTGCTCAATATATTGATGCTAATCTCCAATTCAGCTCTTATTACTTGAGTTCTCCCCCATAATTTAGTTAGCATGTCTTCCTCAAAGTGCTTTGGGAGTTCATTAAAGAATAGACTACATCAAGATTGTAGCATCCATTCTTATGCCTCTTATTGAAAAAGTGACATTTCTTTTTTAACATTGACACCAGAAAGCATTTTGAATGTTATATATGAGATTAAGGATAAGTGTTTGACCCGTTAATGAACATGTTTGTTTTCTAAGACATGGGAAGTTCTACAAAATTAAGATTGGCATAAAATAATGTACCAAAAGTATTGCCTAGTTTAACTTTTCAGCTTATTTACCTTAATTTTGAACGATAGATTCTGAAAGGCTTTTTCTCATTTTCTCTCTCAATTCCTGGAGTTGAATGAAATACCATAGAAAGTTCTCTCTTGGTCCTGTGTAAAATTCTTTAAAATGGCAGATGACTATAATTCTTTATTTTATTTAGTTTGATTCTTAATGTTTTTTGCAGAGATACTGGAATTTATTGCTTTTTAAACATTGAAATATAATGAATGAATTATTCTAATGCCCTTTTTCTTTTTTGATTTTAGTGGCAACTGCACCCCCTGAGAAGGTAATTTATTCATTGTTTGCAAGTCTTCTCTTTTTTTTTCTTTGAAATTTTTCTTTTGTAATATATGTGGGTTTTCAAAGTTGAAAGCACAATAAAATGTACTTTATGCATCATTTAGTTTAAGAAATTAAAGCATCCATTTATTCAAGAAATATTTACTGAGTATCTGAAATGACTGACATTGTCTTTAGTGTTAAGAAAATAAAGAGAACAAATCAGACAAAACTCCCTATTCTCATGGCACTTAAAGTGAGAAGAAAATGGTGGGAACTGATGGGAATCAGGGACATTAAAAAGAATTCAAAGAGTTGATGGATTACCTGGCCCACCCAGGGAAAGAAAGGCCCTGACATGTTCATGTAACTGTGTGTTCTTACAGTGCATGTAAAATAAGTCAGGTATTTGCTAATTCAACTAAAATTTAACATGCATGTTTGAGTTGAATTAGAATAGAACAAGGTTCTATTCTAATTCAATAGAACATTTCAAGAAAGCTGCAATAAATATTGGAACATTATTTCTTAGAAATATTACAGAAATGTTTATTGATCTGGTTTGGGGCACTAAATGACACTATAAATTGTGAGGCTGCATTTGCTAGATTGAAGTCTTATTTATGTAATATTGTACTTTCTTTAGATTTTGCCTTGTCTCTTTATTAATAACATGAAAATTAGGTAACTATTGAATGTTTATACATTTAAGCATTCATTCAGTTGATAAGAGTGCACCAAGTATTAGAATTTAGATGGAATGATGCATAATCTATTATAAATAGTTTTAAAAATTGCTATCTTACAAATATGGAGTAAAGTAACATTAATGCTATCATGTATGTGCTAAAAGAATCCAGAAAAAGGAAATTATGATTTTGATAGCACTCAAGGAAGAAGTTATGGTATATTGAGCCTGAAAGAAATACAATAGATATGCATATTAGACATGCACATTTGCAGCTCCTAGCTAGTATCTCTAAAGATTAGTGGTGTACAGTAATTTGCAATGTTGGTGATTTTGAATTTAGTTCTAGCTGATATATGAGAAGAGCCATTTAGCTTAGATGCAGGCCTGTCAACTTTCAGAGCCTCATCTTAACTCAGCTTTGTTCTTCTGTTTGTGATTGAGTTTATTGCAACTGTTGTATTCTTTTAATTACATTTTATTTCCAGAGGAGGTAGTGGGGGAAATGCAGTCGTATCTCTGTGGTCTTGGTACTCTACAAAGGTTTCAAGATGTTGAAGATGGATAAAGAGAAAGGAGCATGGTCCGGGGTGGGAAATCTATATGTGGTAAAGGTGTGGAAGAATGATGTCAAGGGTTGTGAATGACTTGGTTAGAGAGAGAATCTGAGACTGCTTTTGGAAGGCTTGGAATATCAGCTACAGTTGCAATCAGCAGGGAAATACACAGCTCCTGAGTATCTGAAATGACTCCTCCCTGTCAGGTGGAGAAGTGACATTGGTCAGGAAGGCTGCTGCCTCATGTTGTTAGGTGAAATCGTGTCTGTGAACTGCAGGAGTGGGATGCCTCTTGATCATGATCTGCTCTTTGTTGGCCTTGGCCACAAGTTGCAGGGAACAGGGTGTAATCGAGACTGATTGAATTAATCTCTGATAGGTACTAGGAAGCCAGTCCAAAGTTCTTAAGGAAAGAGGGATGTGTGGGAAAGTGTAATAAGTGCTCAGTGGTTCTGGAAGATGAATCATGACAGGCTTAACCTAGTTTGGGAGACAAAGAGCCTGAGAGGTCAATTAGATGATGACAGTAAACTGAACTTGTGAGAGTAAATCCAGACTGGGATGATGGGGTCCACAGATATGGAAAAGAGCGAGCAACCATAAGGAGTCATGCAAATGAGCAGGAGTTGGAATGAAGACTGGAAGAGAGAGGACTAAAAAGTGTCTTTAAACCTAGATGGGATGGATCGATGACTGGTGTTGACAGAAACAATGACGTTGGAGTGGCAGCCCGGATGATTTTGTGTGTGCAGGGGAGTGGGTTTGAGAAATCTGTGGAACACTGAGATGGAGTTACCCTTCAAGCACTTGTGCTTACAAAACTGAGTCTTCTGATGAAACGTTCAATCAGGCTGTCTATTTTAGAAACAGAAAAGAGGTGATAATTGAAGCCAGGAGAGAGGATAAGAGGCAAACAGAAGCTGGGAAAGTGAGCTTTCTGAGACATGGCAGTAGTTAAAGCCAGAGCGGGGATATATAGGGTAACAGTGAGGAAGTAACTTGATGAGTACTTTTGATGAAGTGTTGTTATGAGCTCCCTGGCCCCACACGGGGTGGGCCAAGGCACGGATCCTAACTAGGCTTAATTGTTCAGTTGGCATGAGCCCTACGGAGCTGTAACTGGGAGCTGAGCTATGGTGATTGATTGTTTCTTTGCCTGAGGTCCAGGGGACAAGAACTGGTAACAGGATATGTTTGGAAGTCTCAAGTCTTCCTCCAAGACCGCAGCTCCCGTGGCTGTGGCTGCCTATCACTATTCAGGGAGATGGCGTTGTCAGGTTATTAGCTGTTGGTTAATGGGGGCCATGATGACTGACTGGTTTAAAATATGGTAGCTTAGCATGTGTTCTTTGTTATGACTCCACTGCTGTATCCACTGTGTAATCTGCAAAGGGTGGCCGGCCATCTAAGTGGGCAGAGCCACAGGTGAATGAAACCAAGGTTTAGGCCTCACTTGAGGTACCCTGTTGGAGATCAAATATGGCCACTTGGGCCAAGGCCATTGCTTTAAACGTCTGACTGAGCCCCAAGGACGTGACTGAGAGTGTATATGTAGATCAGCACTTCTTGTAAAACTCAAGGGCTAATGGCACATTTTTTTTTAATGCCACACAATTATACAGATTTATATCTATGGTGTTTCTTTGCTTTCCTAAAGACATTATTAATTAAACAAAAATGGTCCTATGTGTGAAACTGAAAGTAATTCCCACATTCAATTTTCCTCTCTCTTCCTACTAATACAACTACCCAGGAAATACCTTCATTGGATCAAGAGAAAACCAAACTTGAGCCTGGTCAACCCCAGCTCTCCCCAGGCATTTCAACTATTCATCTGCATCCACAGTTTCCAGGTAACTTATGTTGATCTGTGCTGTTTCTAAGAATATTCAGAATAAAAGCAGAAGTTGGGAATTTTTGTGTGTCTTTGATTTTGCTTAAGAATCACTGGAGTTCATAATTGAGTTTAAATGTAAAAAAATGCATGTTAAAGCATTTTGTTCATATGCTTACATAATGAATGTTAACATAAACAAAGTACTGTAAATAGAAACAATGAACTTTTACTCTTTTTATTATAAGGAGTAGTATTTATTATTCAAAAATTATTATTATTATTGAAAGTCATTATTTGATGATTGGTCATTATTCTTGATGTCTCAGTTGCTCTCAGTTATTCTTGCTAAATATTGAAACCAGAGCTGTGAATTAATACCATGAGCTCTCAGGATCTATGACAGTTTTTGATATCTAGGAGCTATTGTGATATATTATTAGACTAAACTGTGCTTGCATTTTGAAATGGGATCTCCATGCACAGGCTTTAATTTCCTTTTTATCTTCCACTTCCTCATGCAGTGGTAATTGAGAAAACATCGCCTCCTGTGCCTGTAGAAGTAGCTCCTGAGGCTTCTACATCAAGTGCGAGCCAAGTGATTGCACCTACTCAAGTAACAGGTCAGTACTGTGTTTGCCATGTTACATATCCTGTGGAGACATGTGTTTGAATCTATTTAAAACAGTGTATCAAATTATAAGCTTGCTTGTGGTACAGTTAGTCATAAAAGTGAATATTTGGAAATAATATGATTTATTAAAAAATATGGATAAGTAAATTAAAGTATGGTATATACAATAGAATATGACATAATTATTAATGTTTTAAATGAATATTTATTATGAAGAAATGCTTATGGCATAATGTTTATTAGTAAATATAGAACATGATCTAATGATTCTAATTTATTTTTTAAATGTCTATAAAAAGAGAAAAAGAGACAGAAAGGAAATGTATCAAAGTATTCAATTATTACCACTCAGTGGCATCATGAATAATGTTTATGTTCTTCATTATATTTTTATGTATTTCCTAAATTCTTTATAATAAACATTTTAATTGTTAGGTTTAAAATGAAAAAAATGCATTGTTTCTGAAACAAATCAAAAATTTAAATAGTAACATCCTTTTAATGTATATTGAGCTCTTACAGTTTGGCCAGGCACAGTGGTGCTTACCTGTAATCCCAGCGACTCAGGAAGCTGAGTCAGTAGAATTGCAAGTTCAGTGATAATCTAGGCAACTTAATGAGACCCTGAGTTCAATCCCCAAGAATGGGAAAAAATGTTGAAATGAGCTCTCATAAATCAATAAGAAAAATTACTAATGAGAAATGGGGAAAATAATGTAGTCAGAAAAGTCATAGAAAAATAAATAATACCAACGAACATATAATAGGAAATTTTATGTAATAGAAAAGATGAGCTTTTACTCTTTTTGTTATGAGGAGTAGTATTTATTATTCAAGAATTATTATTATTATTGAAAGTCATTATTCGATGATTGGTAAATACATGTAAATTTAAATAGGATAATACTTTTTGTTCTTATCAAATTAGTGGCTGTGGCTGCCTTCCACTGTTCAGAGAGCTGGAGTTGTTATTAGCTCTGCACTTAAAGGAGGCCATGATGACTGACCCAACAGAACTGTTTTTATTAGGGTGAAATTGAGACTTTTACCCATTGCTGAAGGGTTTGCCAGAAAAGCATAACCCAAAGGATATATTGAGAGACATAAAGAAAGAGCTTTATTATGAGAGATCAGTTCACAAGATTCTCATACCTGAGGAGTCCCACAATCTGTTATCTGCTGGTTGGGGGCCTAGGAAGCTAGGGATGTGGTTCTAGTCCAAACCTGGGGGCCTGAGAACCAAGGGAGCCAGACGCATAAGTCCCAAATGGAATTGGAAGGTCTGAGAACCAGGAATACTGGCTTCCAAGGACAGGAGAGATGATGTTCTTCTACACCTTTTTGTTCTATTTGGGCCCAGCCCTCAGTGGGTAGAAAAGGTCCACCTGTATTGTCTACCAATTTCTCCTGAAAACCCTCATGCACAAACACCTGTAAAAAGTGTTTTACTGGCCATCTGTACATCCATTAGCCAGTCAAGTTGACTTATGAAATTAGCCATCACAGTGTAAGTAAACTTGATTCAGCTTTTTTAGAAAACGGACCAGCAATATGTATGAAGAACTGTGTACGCATTCAGAACTTTTGACTCAGTAATCCTATTTTAAGATATCTTATATAGGGAAAAAAAATGTCCCCAAAGACTGTGATGTTTTATGTAAATTGTTATTTATCACAACATGATATATAACAGAAAAAATAGAAATAAGCTAAATACTCAACTATAGGGAAATAAATAATCATGTTTTATTTATATATTGAAAAAAATATTATTCCACATTATACCACTACCAAATATAGTATTTTTGAAGAATTTTTACTGCAGTGTAGAAGGGTAAATTTAAGATGAAGGATATAGCAAATGAAAAATATAGAGTATTATACCAATTATATTTAAAAAAGACTTATATACCTTAAGGAAAGCTGGGAGAAACTGCATCAGATATTAGTAATGATTATTTCTTGTAGTGAGACCTAAGAGGTTTACAGGTTGATTTCTTTTTATATATTTTTTTATTTCCTACTTTTTATAAATTGAACACAATTTCAGAGTTAGAAAAGAATGTCACTATGTTATTCAGTTAGAGAGGAGAAATAAATTTAAGAGACATTTTGTTCAACATAGTGTAGTTAATAATAATACATTGTTTTCTTGAAAAGTGCTAAGAGAGCAGATTTAAATGTTATCACAAAATAATAACTATGTGGTGTAATGCTCATGTCAGTTAGTTAGATTTAATCATCTATCTATCTATCTATCTATCTATCTATCTATCTATCTATCTATATTTGTCTTCTCAAAACATCATGTTATATGCAATAAATACATAAAATTTAAATGTCAGTTCATATAAAAACATATAAATTTAAAAAGATTGCCAAGCAGCATCATATGAACTTATTCTAACTACACTCATGATACCATTGCAGGACAAGATTGGTAGTGTGTAGCCAGAATAACTAATAGAAGAGTGCATTCTCCTTAAAATATTCCGTCCTCAGAAACACATGCAGCATATGTTACATTTCAAATGTTATGTGTTTAACTTTAAACCATTTTCTCAAACATGTGAATGTACCTGTGTTAGTGACAGCAGGCTAAAAATTGCTTATAAAAAGCACCTCTGAGCTGAGGTGAAAGGCCAGGTGACTAAGAAGAGTGGAGGCACCCGGTGGTCTCCTCAGTGCATTTCCAACTAGTCCTAGTGATAGAATCAAGGCACATCTGTTGCAGAGCCCTCAATTGCATGGCAATCACTCTTTGGTTTTACTATTAATACTGAGGGGAATGCTACAGAAATGTTAGCAATTCTGAGTATTTTGGGAGTCATCCAATGAAACGATAGTGATTTTAACAAAAGGTATGACTAAAGTTATCTATTTTGAGGTCATATATGAGTATAGTCACTTTATTAAACACATGTATACTACTGTTCTTTGCAAGGTCTCCCAGTTGGTAATATACTATCTTGGTTAGCAAGGATCTCTTAATTATTTACCTTAATGGTAAAAATATATATACTTTAAAAAATGAAGTGTGACAGTATAATTCACTAGTTTTTTTCTAAATAAATACTATATTTCCATTTTCCAATTTGAAGATGAATTTAGTTGTGAATGGGTATGGCTAACTTCAATGGACATACTTCTTGCAAAATAACTTTGCAGAGGCTAATTAAGTTTGGCTAGATGAAGGCAGTTTCATCTTTTAAAGGCAGCTGTGTGAGAAATAACAAATAGAAGTTGCTCGACTTCAACTGAACTGTGGAACTGATTGAAAAACATGAAAGCAGCCCTGCCGTATGAAGTTGTCAGAAGACTGTGTAATTGGAGTCTGGCAGAGAAACAGGGCTAACATCTGCTGTCACATGTTTGAAGCACAAATATTTATTTCCAAGAAACAAATGATGCTGAATTTTTTTCTCATGTAGTAGTTGTAAGTACTTGCACTACCTATAGTAAAAAAAAAATCTTAGTGAAAGAATCAATGAGGAGAAATTATACAGTCCAAAAAGAAAAGGTTGCAACTTTAAAGCTACATTGTGAGCAGTGATATGCATTAACAAAAGATTATTGTTTGTAGCAAATGTAATTTAAATCAAAATGTAGATGGTCCCATTGGTTGGATGTGGGGACCAAACATAGATCTTAGGATCAAACTGACCAATGCTTTCAGGAAGATTATATAATTTTTTTAAAATCAAAAACACTGAGGCAGTAAATTATTGTTAGTTTCTCCCATATCTGAAGAAAGAGATAAAATTAATTAAAGTCTAAAATAAATATGATCAGCTCTATATTTCATAGTGATGATATCTTTATGGTGGTGAGATTGGAAGTAGGGTTTATAGATTTTTTAGCCAAACACACTTTGACATGTAATAATTATAAAGTGAGCTGCATATTTGCAGGAAATAAGTGTGATATTTTCCACTCTTAACAGCTGACTTGGTGGCTTGCAACACTATGGGTGTACTGTTTCCAAATAAATTATACGTTTCAGCATATAAATTCTTGATTTAGCATAGGGTCTTAATAGCTAAAGGATAGGTTGGAAAAAATCAAACCTTTATTTCTCTGGCAAATATTTACAAAGTGGAAACATCTGTTTCAATTGTTGTGGGACAATTTATGCTCATTGTGGGGCAGTTAGAAAGCCAGGGCATTTTTGTAAACCTTGCCATGAGTTCACATTTGAGGCCTTGCTCAGACTCTTCCCGAACTTTCCCCGTGGCCCTTGCAGACCAACCAGAAATTATTCTTTGTCTCCTTCACTGCCTTACCGAAACCTCTGTAATTATGATGGCCCAAGTATTTTTAAAGCTATTTGCTCATCCAGTTTTTCCAGAACTCACAATTGACCCCTTTAAAAATGTTTGTCCCTGAAGCATATTCCGAATGTCATTACAGTCTCAAGAAACTATGTATGCTGATGGAAAATGAACTCTTAAAAAAAAAAAATGTAGAATCATCTCGCTTTAGTGTTTCCAGACGCCATTTTTAAGGCACTGATTCATTTGCTCATTCATTCATTCAAGTCATCAGATGATGGATGACCTGGATGGGTCAGCACACTCATTTTCACATTTTGCCAAAAGCTTTCTTTTTCATTTAATTTTAGAAAATAAAGATATACTGCTAAATCCACCATTGGCCTTGTTGCTGGGGTGAATAGAGCATTTGGTTTTTCCATTGGCTTTTGGTCATGGTTCTTTTTCCAAATTCTAAGTGGACTGCAGCCAAAGAAGCAGAGTGAGGTCCTTGGACTGGTGAAGGTGAAGTTATTTCAGGGGCACATATCAAAAGGAAGGGTGGGGCTACCCATGAACCGGAAGGCATATGGATGTTCTGAAGCACACCTGAAAAAGTCCAGTGGGGACACTTGCTCGATGGCCTCTCTGGGAAGCGAACCGTGCTGAAGAAGAAAAGCCATTCTTAGTTGCCAGCATAGCACTGGGGCTGTGCTGTCTGTGGGAGGCTCTGCCTCTGTGGTTTCCAGGGCTTGTGCTGACAGTTTGCTCTAAGCGTCTGTTTCTCCACAAACTGGCCCATTCTGTGAGGATAGGTTCACATGCTGATATGTGAGCGACCTCCTGCAAAAATAAAAAAGCAGGGTGTCTTTGTCCTAAAAAATAGAAAAAGCAGAAAATTCAGCCTCTTCTTCAGGACAGCACCCCCAGGACTTGTCTTTCTGTGTGCTGTCGACGTGCTTGAGAATGACAACATAACAGGGGAGTGGGGAAAGCTCAGCGACAGATGAGGAGACATGCTTTAGAAATTTAAAATATGGGTAACAGTGTGGGTATGCTGCCAACTAACTCTTGGATGCCCAGTGAGTAGAAAGCAGACTGAATGTCTTGGGGGCATTGTCCTGACCTGGACAGGTGAGCTTCTGCCTGGCATGTGGCTGAAAGGGATCTCTGAGGTCAAAATGTTGAACATTAAAGTAGTTGATCACTTGTTTCAAAAGGACTCAATCAATATAGAAGTCAAATATGTTTTATAAATGACCTTTCTCTCCCTGGATGTGTCTCTTAGGACCCTCTAGTGGCATCAGCTTAGCATTTTCATGCATATGTTCATGCCCTGCCAGCAAGGATCACCATTTTCAAACTGTCTCTCTCTCTATTGAACTATGAGAAGATCAATTAAAATCCCTCAACATTCTTTACCAACATAATTTCAATCTCATAGCTTCCATTTAAGGTATTGAAGTGGAAGGAAAGGCCACTTTTATTCATTTCATTTCCTACAACAAAAGTTTTATGAAATATAGTATGTAATTTAAGAAATGATAAAAATATATTGGTAAATTGTTATGGGATTACAATTAATTACACTTGAATTAAGCATCCATATTTTTGAAGACTTTTGTCCATATATGTTAAAAACTCCATTCTAACGCTATGCCTGAAAAATGAGAAATAAATATTTGGTAATAGAGAAGAAATTGGTGTGTGTGGGAGCGGGGCAGTGACCATGGATCAGACCTTTCATATAAACTCTGGATTAATAGCCTTTTAATTTTTGGCCTGGATCCTTGCCCCTCATACCTTAATTCGTCATTTAAAGATTTTACTTTCCTTTTGCAAACATGACCAACATGTCTTTTCTGTTTTTAGAAAATGGCAGAAAAGAATACAAAGGAAGGTTGATAATGACAAAGAAAACTAAGAAATCTAAATATGAATCATTTTCATAGGAGACATCTACAATAATATATAAAGATGTTTACAGATGTATTTTTCAAACTTTTCAACTAAAAAATCATATAGAAAAGAGAATTCTTACCTGAGTGTCTTAGAGTATCACCTGGTGAGGACTACTTTTACCTTCAGAATTTTGTGGCACATAAAAAATGGAGCTCTTGAGAGAAGACCTTAATGATTATAAAAGTACTAATACATGCTTGTTGTAGAAAACTTTTTAAGATACAGAAAAATATAAATAAGAAAATAACAATCCAATAAACTTGGATATATTTTCTTTTTTTCTGAGTGTATCATAATTTGAAATCATGCTATATTGTGTTTTTTACCTAAGTATATATTTTTTCAACAAATAAGCATTTTTCCCTTCTGTTAATGATTGTATAACCTGTGTTTATAGTTATCAAAATTCATTGTGTTGTTATTGCCAGTTACTTAAATTGAAGTGTTCGTGTTAATCACTCAATGACTTTATCCTTCTGAATCATTTTAGTTTTTCTAGAGTTGGGTAATTTACTAACTATAAGTAAGTATTTTTCTAATAGTTAATTAGCATAAATGAACTCATAAAAGATATGTAGATTGCAGGTCATGGTTTTTTGCATACCCTCCTCATACATACAGATGATGATGTTTTAAGTTTTGCAGTTCCCGTGCTCCCCTTTCACAGGACTTGCTTTGAAATCTTAAAGTTATAGCACTGTGAATACTTTATGAAAAATGAAGACTGTGGTTGAGGTTTTGGAGAGCAACTTCAACCCCAGTGTAGTTCATTTACATGGTGAAGCTTTTGGTAAAGCATGATTTTCACATGCTTAGAAAATGGCAGAAAAGTGCATAGTGGGTCTTAGTCACAGTAACCCACTTGTATTTCTTCTTGTTCAAGCCATGGTCCCTCTTAACAAAACTGTGCCATTGATTTGTTACACTCAGAGGCCTCAATCTACTTCTCCTTGGGGGTTCCTCGGTCTCATCCATGCCAGCATCTCTTTTAAGCCTTGTTTGCTATATGATAAGACTGAGATAATTATAGCCCATGGTAGTATTGGTATAAATGCACTGTTTCTTTGTTACATATTCTTAGATAACTTCAATACAAATAACGGTGATAATGATAACTTTTATGAATACACTTAATGTGCCAGGCATTAGGCTACATGTATTTAGGTTTTCTCTTCTCAATCTAATACTTAGGAGTTGGAACTCTGACTAGTTTCATTTTTCACTTGTAGAAAAGTAAGGTTTAGGATGGTTAAATAACTCACCCTGGACTAGAGAGCTTTAAAGGGTGACAGAATTTGTACCTGTGCTGACTTCAAGTGAATGCTTCCATTCACCAGTTGTACTGCCTCCTCTGTCATTGTACCTTCCATCAGAGGTCATTGAAAATAGAAAATATTAGGGAGTAATCCATCTCAGAAGGCCGCTTTTGAGTCCTGTGTCCTTTTGGTAATTAAGCTCATATAGATGGACTGCTGTGAACCTGTCTTCACCATAGCACGTATCTAAGTGGAGTGAGGACTTGAACAGGCTGCATGGAAGAAACAGGTCTCACATAGCCATCAGTAAGAGAGTAAGGGAGGAATTTAACAGAAGATTTGGAAGATGATACTTTACTAGTATAAATAAAATGTGCTCACACTGAAACTGGGAAATTGAGAGTAAGATATACTTGGAAGTTTTGCTTTCATTAGGAGGAAGAATTCTTTCTTCGGAATTAATGAGAAACTTTGGAGGAGTTTGGATCTAGTTGTTGGAACTGAAATTTGACCTGCTAATGAATGGAAAATTACCATGTATTTCTTATCAGAAGAAATAACACAATGATTCAAACTCTGTCATCTATGATGAAACAGAGTGAATAGAAATGCATGTATAGACCATGTTGGAAGTTGTTTCTTTTTTTTTTTTTTTGAGGGGGCGTGGTACCAGGGATTGAACTCAGGGGCACTAAACCACTAAGTGACATCCCCAGCCCTATTTTGTATTTTATTTAGAGACAAGGTCTCACTGAGTTGCTTAGTGCCTTGCTGTTGCTGAGGCTAGCTTTGAACTCATGATTGTCCTGCCTCAGTCTCCCAAGCCTCTGGGATTACAGGCATGCATCACAGCGCCTGGCTTGGAAGTTGTTTTGTTAAAAATAGATTTCCTTATAACTTCCAAAAGGCCTCTTTCTGAGTTTCTACCCACTGTAGTTGTTGTTAGTAACTGTTGATGATCTTGACTAATCGATATAGTGATCACATGAATTTTTATTTGATTTCAGAGGTTGGTTTTGTCTTCTAAGTACAGGATTATGTCAACATTATTTAGCTAGTCAAGAAACACAAAGTAATGATTTGTAAGTAGCAGTGAAATATTTATTTCTGTGTTTCTTTTTTCACCCTGTATTCTTTTCTTTTAAAGAAATTAATGAATGTACTGTGAACCCTGATATCTGTGGAGCAGGACACTGCATTAACTTACCGGTGCGGTACACCTGTATCTGCTATGAGGGCTACAGGTTCAGTGAGCAGCAGAGGAAGTGTGTTGGTAAGAGGCATTTAGGACAGACAGTTATTAATTAAATAGAAGATATTTGTTATGTGTGAAACATTTTTCTTAAACAAGTCGATTTAAACATGTCAAGAAAATGTTACTGTGTTTAATTTTTAAAAGATGTTTATACTTTCTCTAAGAGAGCTCAGAAAAAGGATCTGCCATACTCCTGGGATTCTCTTCTTTATTCAGTGGTACCTACCTTGTCAAATTTGATATATTTACCTAAATGTGGAGTAATTTATGAAAGTTTTTCAGATAAAGTAGATAAGAATTCCAGAAAGAGCTACCTAAAGAGCTACCTTGCTTTTTAGCAAAAGCAAGTTAATATTAATGTCTGCTATAATAAAGAACTCAAGTTAATGTTAATGTCTGCTATTATAAAGAATTCATTTAAGTACACAAAATATGATTTCTAAATTGGATTTCTAAATGGAAGACCTGTCTGTGCCCTGGCAGGAAGCTATTAGTGAATTTATAAGTAAGAGATTTCATATACGTTGCTTTGGAATAAGAGGTTTCTCAGAGAGAGGTTTAATAGAGTTAAATCAATCATTTTAATGTGTTTACTATAAACTTAATTTTCTTTTTCAAAAAGGAAGACTTAGCACTAAGTTACAAGGTGTTGTCAAAGTAAACAAAGCAACAAAGGCAGATGTGTGAATTTTGTGCATATATAATGTAGGGCAGGGAGGAGGGGGGGAAGAAAAGCTAACTACCCTGCTCTATTACATGTTTCCCCTTCATTTGCATACATTGTTTTCACCTTTAGAACCCAAAATATGAAGTAGAAGAGGCAGTAGAGATGTCCTAATCTAGCTCCTGGCCTGTACACAGTGGAAGAGTCTCTGACTCTCTTGCTGACGGCACATTCCAGTGCTTGATGACCCCAGTTATCCGCAGAATGCTGTGTTGACCTGAAATCTGTCTGCAACATCAATGTTGTGGTTTTTAGTTTTAACCTTTGAGGCAATACACAATAAGCTGCTTCCTCTTCCCACTCACCATCCTTCAAGGATCTTGGCAAGACAGATCTTGTCTCTTTTTACTTGTTCTCCTCAGTTGTAAAGGTTTGTGTCCCCAGGGAATGGCATGCTGGTCTTTTACAGAGCAGGGAGACTGAATTCTTCCTATACAGCACTAATCTTTTTCTATTTGTTGCATTAACAGATATTGATGAATGTACTCAGGCCCCACACCTCTGCTCCCAAGGACGCTGTGAAAACACCGAGGGAAGTTTCTTGTGTATTTGCCCGGCAGGATTTATGGCCAGTGAGGAGGGTACTAACTGCATAGGTAATGGCAGTGTTCTTCCTAATGTATAAATTCTCAAACCTGGGGTTTTAAGTGTCCCAGGACCCTATCAGTTCAGTGCTCAGTAAGATAATCCAGAAGTTTTAAAATAAGCATTTTGTTAGGACATGGCCATCTGCTAGGTACCAGCAGATATAAGTGAATTTTTTTTGTTTGTTTGTTTCCAACACTTCTGATGGAAGAATGTCAAAAATGTACAGACATGGTGTGTAACATGTCACTTCTGGACCCCTTGTGAATCAAACCTCTGTGATTTGGAAGCCTGTTGAACAATCCAAGGGGTGATAGTTGATTTTAGTTATCTCACAATTATGTTTGAACTAAGCTGGGAGAGGTGTGAAATGATACTTTGGAAATTAAACCTTGACAATGTTTTCTGCTTCATGTAGACGTGGACGAGTGCCTGAGGCCTGACGTCTGTGGGGAGGGACACTGCATCAACACCATGGGGGCCTTCCGGTGTGAATACTGTGATAGCGGGTACCGCATGACCCGGAGAGGCCGTTGCGAGGGTGAGTCTGCTTAGAGAATCAGGATCCTGGCGCCTGCATGCGCTGAACACAAGCGCCCATGAAACACAGGGCTGGGTCTGGACTCCAGGGCTGTATGCACTGCCTGGTTGCTGTTCTCCTCCCTGATTCTGCAGGATACCAGTGTATCCAGGCTCCCACACTTTCTGGATTCAAAGCCACTTTGCCTCATTTCAGTGGCTCTGTCTGGATTATTTTCCATCTTCATGTTCTCATTATTTTTCACCCTGGTATCTGCCTTCCCTGGTATTTGGAGTGAGATCACTTTAGGAGAATTAATTGCCGAGTATCCTCGTACAAACCCAGACTTAATTAGGACGTCTGGCTCGTTCATCTGGAAACATAGTGCAGGTGGAACCAGTGTTGATTTTTCGTTTTCAACTTGTTGCATTCCTTTGTCTCAGCTGCCTTCTTTTACACGTGTTCTGGGACTTTTCTTGCAAACTTCCCACAGAAGTATTGTCTGACCAACTCGGTCAGATTCCAGTGGTGCTAAATAAAATTCCTTTCTTACTGACCATAGCCATAAGTTTGCCCTCATCAGGGAGATGTAGCTCAGTGGTAGTGCCCTGCCTAACATGCATGAGGTTCAATCCTGAGGTTCAATCCTGAGTAGAAAAAAATATATAGAGAAAATATGTATTACATGGCCCAAATTACTTTCCAGTTAATAGTTCTGTCTATGTAGATGTCAAGGTTGGGCAGGTACTTTTTTGAAACTGCTGCAGTACTTTTCTGTACTTATATTCTTGAAGAAATACATTAGCTTCTGTTGAACTTCTGTCATGGAGATATGAGGGCCAAGGCACAGAGGGGGGTCTCAGGCTGGTGTTGAGTAGCTTGCATGTGAGAGTGGTTTGGGGTCCTAGGGTTTCCTGCTTGGGCTGCCAATAGTCTGCCTTTAGTTTAGCTTCTAAAGTCAGGGAGTGACAGACCAGGTGGGCCAGTCTGCTCTTAGCTGTCCCTTGGCTTTTGCCTGTTGGTTTTCTTCACAGCTCCAATGTCTCAAGCCTGCAGTGAGAGCTAATTAGACATTTTTGTTGGCAGCTCCCACATGCCCCTCCGGCTGGCCTCTTTCCTTGGCCCCTTGTGCTCTAATCTAGAGCAGTGGGAGCATTTTATGTCACCGGATCTCTAATCAGTTCATAGCAGAACAGAACCATGAACCCTCCCTCATGACCAAGGGGCCATGGGACAAGCGCCCAAGTGACCCCACTCTTCTCTTCCAGGGAGCTCCCTCTGCTGTAGAAAGGCAGCAGGGGAATGGGAAAGAGCAAGGACTGAATTCCATTTGAGGTCCTCACTTGTAGTCACTGCCCAACCTGAGCCAGCTACTTAGCACCTGGGATACTCAGTTCCTCACCTGTAAAATGAGAGCCATGAGAATGTGGAAGTTGGAGTGCAGGGCTGCTGGGTTTCCTTTGGTGCTCTTCCCCTTGTTGGTTTGCATTTGAATGTCTTTAAGCCTTCCCCTTCCCTGACTCCTTTTGTTTTTGTATGAATCTTCTCTAAATCGATAGCGGGGAGGGCTTCAACAGAGAGGGGTGACTTTATGTGGCAACGTTTATTTCCTTGGTAACATAAGTCAAATACTGATCCTTCAGTTCTGCATACAGTCCCAGAATGGAAAGAGAAGATATTTGATCAATAAGGAAAGAAGGGAGGAGACAAGAAATTTGAAGATTATAAAATTAAACTGAAAGCTCATAGAATATTCAGGAATACTCAATATATGGAAATTATTTAGCTGAAATATCACCAGGGTTCCCTGAATAAGTAATATATCATTCTATCCCCCGTGAAAAGGCTTGCGAAGAAGAAGGAGCCAAAGAGTGCGGCTGTTTTCTACTTTGGTCATGGACTAGAACCAAAGGTCCCTGAGCTCCTGGCTCACAGAAGATTTTCTCAGCTGTCACTAACGAAGCTGCTTTCAAACAGCACCAGTCTCCAAGGAGCCTATTGTAGTTTACAGACATTATCTCATTCATCCTTGCTTTATTCCGTAAAAGCATTACAAGGCAGGTAGTCCCTCATTTATAGATGAGGGAACAAGTGAGAGCAGCAGGAAATTCAGGGGTGTTATCTTGTATTGCTCAGTGTTGCACTGTATTTATTGGGCCAGCCTGGCTCAGTGACATTTCTCTGATTAGCAGTTGTATTTTTATTATTATT